CGCCACAATGCTCCTGATAAATCCGTGGTGCGTCCATGCCTCGAGTCCCGTGCCCAGCTCTGGTCCTGCACCCCACCAGGACACAGATCAGCTGGGGGTGCACAGAAGGACAGCAAGGATGATGGGGTGCGGAGGGGATTCCCGGCCAGGAGAGACCAGACAGGCTGGCCTGTTTAGCTCAGAAGAGAGACGCTTGAGAGGGGGCAGGAGAAGCGTTACAAAATACTAAATGGTGAAGAAATGCAAAAATCTAGACCTCTTGGTTCAGAGATGATACCTTTTATTAGGCCAACTGAGAAACTGCAAAGAAAATGATATTTTTCTGCAAGCTTTCGAGAAAGCTCACAGAAAGTTAAAGACGGTATAAAGTCCCCATATGTAAAAAATAAACTTCATTTTTGTACAGAGGAAGCTGAAGCTGGAAATGTGTCCTGGGGACTTTTTACCATCCTTAGCTTTCCCTGAGCCTGAGGAAGGGCGTGTGAGCCCAAAAGCTTGCAGAAAAATATCATTTTCTTTGCAGTTTCTCAGTTGGTCTAATAAAAGATATCCAAGGGTTCTAGGTTTTTGCATTTCTTTTTGCCTCCGACCAACATGGCTACCAAGTACATCCCTAGACAGTGAAGAGAAAGTCAACAGGGATTTATTGTTGACTCCCTTTTATCTGCCCACTTTGCACCTCTTCGACTGCTCTTTCGGCTCTGCAGCAAGGAGTCCCACAAACATCCCCCATGGTATCCCATGAAAGTTCCCCGAGGAGCAGGACTGCCACAGACAACCCTCCCCACCAGCCCCAGCCAGCGCACAGCACCACTCCAGCGCTGACCTCTCTCCCCGGGTCTGCCGCAGTTTGTCCAAAGCACCGAGGGCAGTGGGTGCAGATATGAGCAGCCAGCGCTCGAGCAGGCTGCTGGGTTGCTCTACGAGAGTAGTCCCCAAACTCAGACAATTGCGCACCACCACTTTACAACGATACAACCTTAAGTACCACCAGCGATTTTTTGTCATATAAAGTCATTATAATAAATCTGTGAATGCGGACCACTGACAGGCTGCCTGCGTACTGCGGATTGGGAACTGCTGCTCTATGGGGGAAAGGAAGGGGCTTGGGGAGCATCTGTGTAAGTGCAGCGTCCACCTCCCGCTAGGGTGGCAGCCAGGCAGTGGGGAGTTACACGGGCTCCGCTGGCCTTGCCCCGGCTCCCCAAGCACAGATCCGTTTGGCCAAGGAGCGGTTAGATCCAGGATCCCAGGCCCCACGTCCAACAGTGAGAGCCACAATAAGGTGACGAGGAGGAGGCAGGTGCAGTGAGCGTCCCATGGGGCGATGTGAGGCCATGGCTGGGGCAGGGCAGGCAGAGGTGCCTGGAGGGGCTGGTTTCAGCTGTCTCCTACCTTCAGGCCTGTACTGGGCGATGATGGTCACCGTCTGTCCCGCTCGCTTCAGGGCTGCGGCCGCCTGCTCGTGAGTCGCATTGCGGAGGTTCACCCCATTTACCTGACCGGAAACAAAGCGACAGCATCGGGCTTTAGTTCACCAGCCCCGCCCCCTTCCCCCTCCACTTCCAGCCTCTGCCCTGGCTGCTGCCTGCTCAGAGGCCCTTTCCCTCGAGCTGATGCTGCCCGGAGGTGCTAGGATCCCAGTTCGTGTCTTGCCCTTTGCAATGCCTTCCTATTTATATATCGCCCCAGAGCTCATCCCAGCCAGGATCACCAGCCACACTCGGGCCCTCCATGAGTGGACTGATAGTGGAGAAAGGTGCATGGGGAAGACACTGCCCTGCATAGCCAGGGGTGCATGCCTGCATGAAGGATCCACTGGTCCTTCCTTCCACCACCTTCTCCTGGCAGGAATTGAAGAGGCGACTGCTGCAAATATCCCCTGCGGAGACTGCACACGCACTGGCTTGGCTCTGGTTATGCTCACAGTCTGCTACACCACAGCCCTCCTTTGCCCAGGTGATTCGGGGCCTATGCCTCATCCCCATGTGCTGCCCAGGAGGAGGTACCAGCCCTCCTTCATCGGAGGCTGACCGCACAGTCCAGGCAATGAGATGGAGTCACCCTTTGGACCATGCCCAGCTCTCAGCTCCATCGGGTTATCTTTCTGGCACCAAGACAAGCTCCAGATGAACCTTGGCAGCTGCACAGTTAAATGTCTCTGAATCTGGCACTGTGGCTTTCCAGCCCAACTCCACGGCATCTCCCAAGGGCTCCCAGCAGTTCGAAATCCAGCCGAGCTAGAAAATCAGTAATAGCTAGCATAGCCCGAGCGAGAGCGGGGGCAGCTTTCTTGCTCCTGGCACTGCCAAGGTATCCTCTGCTGCTCCTCTCCAGGGCCCTGTTTCCACCTGTGCTGATGCCCTTCAGTCCTGACCTGCAGGTTCCCAGCTACTCCAGCCTGGGGCCAGTTCCACTCGTGCCAGTTACTGTGATTGTATCCTATGAACAAGTGTGCACTCGGGACTTCATTAAAAGCTGCTTTCTCCTGGGACTCCATCTGGGTTTGAACCCAGGTCTCTAGAGGTAAAATGTTCTTGCTTAGCAAATCTGCCCATGAATTGAAAAGGAAGAAAATCCTTCCTTAGCCATGGGCAAATCAGTAACTTTTGATCTAAGTCTGTTCACGTCAGAACTTGAGATGAACATTTCTCTGGCGACAAAGTGCTAAAGTCAAAGGAAGCAGCAACCACCCTGGGCCAACCCAGACCAGTCTGTTCACCTGCGCTCAGGCATTAACTCCTTATGCCTGAAACTGAAACGCTCTTCAGCTAAATCCAGCCCGGCTAGATTAATTTAGCAAGAGCTCAGCATTTGGCCCCTGGAAGGAGAACGAGAAGTGAGACTTGTGCAGTAGTGCAGCCATCTGCACTGCTGCACGAGGCCAGCTCTAATCCCGAGCTCAGCACCCCCTCGTTGGGCTGGCGAAAGCAGAGCTGAGAACCGCTGGGGGTGGGGAATCGGCCCGTCGCTCGTCAGCATTCCTGCTGCGCAGGCGTGGGAGTCAGACTGGCGGGACAGTGCCTGGCATGCAGGGTTTGGGGGTGCCCCATGGAAGGAAGACGTGCCAGCAGGCAAGGGCATAAGCAAACTAAGCTCAGGACCCCTCATGCTGCTGCGCACTGTGCAGTGGGCTGTGCCTGGCTCCTCTGCCTTGCAGCTCTGACAAGCACTTTGGTTCTGCTGGCCCGCTCGCTTTGTCTTCACGGTGCAAGCCCCACGTGCACCCAAAGGGCTGGGGAATGAAAACGTACATGCGGTGACCCCACCAGGCCTGTGCTCAGAGGTTTCGGCAGCGCTTTGCTTTCTCCTGTCCTGCTTGGCCACTGGGATTATAACAGCACAGCCTGGTACCTGAGCCTCCCTGCCCCAACCCTGCACCAGGGCCGCAAGGTGCCGCTACAGCCGGGGTGACACCTGGTGTGAGCGGGGAAACGGGGGTGACACCCGGTGTGGACCCAGCCTCATTTTGCTGTGGAAAAAGCCAGACAGGTTTTTGCCCACACTGGTGAGAACTTGGTTGTCACTAGGGACTCACCCCACAGGAGGTGACCTGAGGGGACAGGGGCCCTACAAATGCCAGCAGGGCCGTTTGCTGCTGGACAGGCGACAGCAGCCTCAACACATGAGCTCTGCAGCTGGCTGAGGGCCCCCAGCGGCGATGGGACTCACCGAAAGGATGCGGTCTCCTCTCCGCAGCTCCCCACTGAGGTCGGCAGGGCCTCCGGCCAGGATAAAGGAGACAAAGATCCCCTCTCCATCCTCACCACCAACGATGTTGAAGCCCAGTCCCGTGGAGCCTTTGTGCAGGATGATTTTCCGGGGCTCTCTAGGTGAAGAGACATCAGACATTTAGAGGCCAGGGAAGCTGCGCGCAGTGCCCCGGCTGCGGTGCTCTCCAGGTGTGCAGGAGGCAGGGAGCTTTCTGCCACACCTGGAATCCGGCAGGGCTGGAATCTCCTCCTGCATCCTGAGCTCAGCCTCTCACTGCTCGCTTGCTTGTCAGCCAGTAACGAGGAGGTTGACGAATCACAGAGCAGGTGCTGGGAGTTGCACCAGCCCAGGTCACGAGACCTGGGCAAAAGGCTGGAGGAATGTGGAGCTCAGCAACTGGCTGAACAGGCCTCTTTGTGCACAGAGGGACAGCGCTGGGGAGGAAGGACTTTGCCTCCAGAGCAGCGCTCTGCAACAGGGCTCAGCAAAAGCCGTAGCCTGGGCAACGTGCTCCTGGCTGGCAGCAAGTGAGCGGGAAGGCAGGGAGGTCATCAGACTAGGAGTAATCGTTAAAGACAGCATCAGGTGAGGTGACCCGCACAGTACACTTTGCATTTTTGAAGACAGCATGTGACAGCCTCCAGCACAGCCACTCATGAGTGCCTGGAGGCCTGATAGTGAACCAGCAGTAACAATTCCTATCATCAGGGTGCTGTTTGCACACTTAGAGCATGCACAGACCTGGGCACAAGCACTTGTGCCAAACAGGGATGCTCCCTTTGGCCGTTTCTGTTTGCCTGTCACTGATGTCACCACGAGAGAAAGTGCTGCCTCATGGCTTTAAAACAGCACACTACAAGATCTTGATTGTTTGCTGATGAAACGGTGCTTCTAAGTTACAGTTTAAACTGCCAGAGTGAAAAACCTGTCCAGCATCACGAAAATACAGGGGCGAATAAAAATCAAGCCTAATGAGAACGCTTGCCTGTTCCAACTCCAGCCCTGCATTCAAAGGCAGAGGAATACACGTGGTAAGTCGATTAACATACCTTGGCAACAACATGCAACCCTGCGGGGATGTCCAGGAGGCAATAACGTCACAACTTGGCCAGGTGACAGTGGCATTGATCAACTTAAACAAGATTCGGCCTCTGAACATCTACTTTAGAAAGGCCAAACTCCACGTCTCAGCCCAAATGCTATTTCTACTTGAATATGTGGACGTGAAAGCTGGCAACTTACCAAAAGATACAGATGTCTAAATAACTTCAAACACCCATGACAACACTAGGCATTAACTGGAATGACTGTACAGCAAATGCCGAGATGTGTCAGAGTTCAACTGCCCCAGTGCTTTTCAACCTTTATGCATGTGCGGACCCCAGAGGCGACTGGTGCCTTCAGAGTCTGGGGGGGGCACAATTTGTGGGTGGGCCTGGGGCCTGGCCAAAAGCCCTATATCCACTCCTATATTTCTGTGCCATGGCTTAGTGGCCCCCCCCCCCAACACACTGCTGGCCCACGCAGCAAAAAAACTGCCCCGTCCTGAGCAACGCCAAGTTGGGGGCCGATCTCAGTGGCGGCATGTGCCCCCCACCCCCTGTGACCACCCTACCAGTTGCCTGTGATGGACCCCTAACATTTTTCAAACGGAAGTGTGGACCCCTTTTTTATTCTAAGCATGGGTATTCACAGATTTATTTGCAGCTGGGGAAGGGAAGAATTTGGGCTGGAAACTATGCTGGGATCACGGACAGTTGCAGCCTAGGCAACCTGCCGTGGGGCTAGGGCGGCTGGCAGGCAGCATTGCAGAGAAGCTCTTGCACAAGCCCTGCCAGACAGATGCACCTGGGACAGGTTGTAGCCCTGTCACTGATATGGGCATCCTGGCAGCAATGTGCAGCAAGGGGCACGGACCACCAGCCGAAAGAGCCTCCTCGGTCCCTTGGGGTGAGCGCTACTCAGTGAGAGGGGCCTTATAGAAGAGCAATGGGAGGAGAAGAGAAGCAGAAAGTGCTGGGTGCCCCATAGGAAAGTCTGGCTCTCCCGGCTTTGCCCCTCTCATCCCAGTCCTGCAGGGAAGGGGTCAGGCTGCCTTCCTCCAGTCTTGGCTACGTATGGCTTCACCATATGGCTATGAGCTCTGGCTGTGGCAGCTAAACAGGCATGTCCACTCAAGCATTTACCCCTTCTGATGGCTGAACCTGCAGCCTGGCAGCCCCGTGCACTATGGCTTTACACCAGACAGGCAGGCACCACGGTCCCAGCTGCAGCGAGGGCTCCTCAGTGCAATGAAGCTCCCCACCAGGGTCCAGAGCTGCAGATGCCTGCTCCGGGACACAGAGACCTTGCACCGCCATGACACAAACATCCGTGCCCAGTTCCAGCCCATGGGGGTGAATGGGAACAGCACACACTCTCTCTGCCCTTAAATACGAGCCCAGAGGTCACAGCGAGCAGCCTGGACCATCTCAAGCCCGGACAGCAAGGACTTCTGGCCAGTGCCAGAGTCACCTCTGCCGTGCACAAAGGTGCAGAAACCTCCCCACTGTTTGCTGCCAGACCCCCGGTCCCTTCTCCCTGCCTGCAGCTCTACCGGAGCCGATGTAGTGGCACGGCGGTACGGTACCTCTGGTCACAGTGCCTCCGGGGGTCTGGCTGCTGTCTGGAGGGAGAGACGGATGCCGGGTGTCCCTTGTAGGACATGGACGATGAGACGTTGACGGTGAACATTGCAGAGCTACCCGCTCTGCTCGCGGCCTGGCTGCTGCTCCTCGCGGGGAAGTGCAGAGAGGAATGTCCTGAATGCTCTCGGCTCTGCTCCCCCCACTCTGTTTATCTCTGCCGTCTCTCCCGGTGGTGCACAGGGCACTCAGTGTCTTCAGCCCGGCTCCGGCTTTTTTATAGAAGCACGGAGAGGACGCAGACTTCGGCACGCACTTCACTCCGCCGAGGCCTCACAGGCTTAACTCGTTCCTCCCTGGCAGGTAAAGCCAACGCCGTCTGAGCCGAAGCGAGGGGCCGCAGAGGGAAGGCCGGATGGACTCGGAACACCCCGAGACGATGGCCCCACTCTCCTCATCCCTGCTGCCAGCATGGACTTGCTGGCAGCTTTGTAGCGCCTCTCTGACACACAGAACGGCAGGGCGTCAAAGCACCACCTGGACCCCCAGGATGACAGGTGCGTCCGGCTGAAGCTCCACGTGTGGGCTGCAGCTCGCTGGCTGAAGGTGCCTTGGCTCACACTGCCCATGCAGACTGGTGCATGCCATCTGGGGCTCTGCACCCACCAGGCTGCTCGTGAAGTCACTCAAGGGGCAAATAACGGCACTCTGAAGTGCTCTGCTGGGGCTCTTGCACAGCTGTCTGCCCAGGCAAAGCAGGAGGGTGGGGCATCAGCCTCTGTCCTCTGGCCTGGCCAACAGCGGTGAGCACCACATGCTGAGGGTGGGTGTCTGTCAGGGCAGCCTCGTGCCCGCTCCAGGGACCAGTCTGCTAGCGCATGCCACCCAAGGAGCTTTCAAAGGAGCCATCAGGTGCGTGTGCTCGCAGACAGACACACTACGCCTGCAATGTCTAACAGAGCATCGCCATCAACCGGTGCCCCCCAGCCTGCTGTTTGCACTCTCGCTCCGCCCCAGCCTGCACGGCCTGCCCCAGTCCCTTTCCTCTGACGTCCAGCTCTGTGCTGGCAAGTAGGGGCCCCAGGGAACTCATCAGCATGGAGGGGCCGAGCCTGAGGCCTGCTGGAAATGAGTGCGGAGGAGCTGGAAGGCAGCGAGGCTGCCCATGGGGAGCTGGGCAGAGAGCATGGATGGGGCAAAACAACTGCTAGGCAAGGCAGTGCCTGCCCTGAGCTGCCTTTGCAGGTGCAGGGACCACAGTCCCCAGACACTCCAGTATCCTCCTTCCCAGGCTTGGAGGCGTTGCCTGGGAGAAGGGAGGGGTGGCTCTGGCCCCACTCACCCTGGCCCCCAGAGGCAGCGGGTGTTGCAGAAGCCAGGGGGTCCCTTGCTGCTGTGGAGCCACTGGGAAGGAGACCTGCCCCACAGCTCCGAGCGGCAGCGGCCTTAAT